AGTGTATACTTAAATACACAGCACTAACAACAAGGGTGAATTCAGATTATTACTGCAGACCATCTGGTGCAAACCGGTCACAAAGTCAGCGTAGAAGAATCCTCCTCTATAATATACCGGGTGCCTAACAAATTACCAAAATCGTTGAAGCACCGCATGCTCCAAACAACAGAGGCTATTGCAATTCGCCTCAAACAACCAGTGCTCTATGTTCAAAAGAAACAAGTCCAGCCCCTACTACTGCCATGGCCCTCAGTAGAAACTATTAACTCATGAATTTGTACTATTATCTTTCATAATCCTTCTGACATTCAGCTTATTTTATGTTGATGCTGTTCAGCTGTAATCTATCAATATTATTGATTTGATTTTATTTAAACATTAATGTCGTTCATAAGACTAATTCATTCATTATAATGTACATATAATTGTAGAACCTGATGATGAATTTATCGAAAAGAGTACTCTTTGTTTCGTGTCCATTCTTCTGAAAAATATTTTGTATCCCTGCTTAGATTTTTGTCAACAAACGGTGCATTAGGGCTGGTGAAATTTCCCAAAGAAGTGAAATGGTGAACACTTTTAACCATGGAGTTGAGAGTCAGTGCAAACCAGTTCTGTAACATTATCTTACGTGAATCATATGCTGATAACACTCAGATTATCGTAAATGATCATATAAATACATGTGTAAAACTTGGGTACTGTAGTAGTAGGTAATTCCGTATTAGTTTGTTTATTAGATATATCACACAGTGAAACAGTATTTTTTTCTGGATAACGTTTCGAACACGATTTATTGTTCATAATCATATCAATTATAATCACACGACTTCGAACACGTGTAACAGAAATGATCCAACACCTGTCCCAGATATCTGGAAAATTCTACTAAGCCTACAACAAACAGAAGAAAACAAAGAAAACTATAAAATTCAAGTTTCGAAGTCGTGTGAATATAATTGATATGATTATGAACATTAAATTGTGTTCGAAACGTCATCCAGTAAATAATACTGTTTCACTGTGTGATATATCTAATAACAAAACTGATATGGTATCGTGAAAGGTGTTCAGAAGACTGTGCTCGATCAGCGTCTTCACTTAAATGGTCTCCATTAACTGGGTACTTCAGATTAACGTGACTTAACCAATAATAACACGTCAAAATCGACCATTAGTACAATTCCACTAAGAGAAGAATTTATCGTGATAGTCTTACAGTGTTATACAGTAATATTTACTCATGACCAAGTTTCATGCACAATTTATTCCTCATAATCATCTCAAGGTACTCACTCACACAACTTTCCAGCTTCGTTTATATAATTCCATTATTTTCCATCGCTTGATTTGATTGGTAGTAGTATTTTCCATATTTCCGTTATGAGTGATGAATCATTCCTATTGCATATGTTGGATGTAGACTTGATGAACAAGGATTCAGTAATCAACCCCTCTCTCCACCTACCTAGATTACTTTTTGGAATTTTATCCCTCTCCCACCCTATGGTGTGTTAATGCATGTAGTGCAATCGCTGAGTTTTTTTCCCAAATAACTTATCTTCTCGGGGTCAACCATTCTTACCTTAGCTAAATTCTTATGTTCCGACAATCTGACTACCGCCGACCTACTAGTTTGACCTAGGTCGTTAACCTTACAGTCATTGCAGGGTACTTAGTAAATTATATTATTTTGTCTAATTGGGACAACTGGGTCCTTTAGCCTAGAGGGCTTTTGCCTGAGTGGTTTGTAGGTTTAAATGACACTCTAATCCCTGCTTTATTAAGAATCCTACATAGGGTCTCAGACTGTCCCCTCCTTATATGGTAGATGCCTTATATTCTCTCTTATTTATGTTATCATACTAGTTTCACCATTATTTTTACTTTGCTTGTGACCTTTTTGATATTCCTAATGCATTTTATAGGATAGTTATTAAACACCAACGCCTCTGTTTTATTTCATCATTTAGGTCTTTTTTTGTGCTACTTAGTGCTACTGATCGGTTTGTTAGACACTTAACTAAACCTGCCTTAACAGTTAACGGATGAGACGAATTAAAGTCTAAATATCTATTAGAATATGTTAGTTTTTAATAAATGCTAGTGTGCAGTTTACCTTCTTCTATTCGTTCTATTTTACAATCTAAAATAGCTAATTATCCTTGTTCATTTTCCGATTCAAATGTGAATATTATTCCCTTAATTAGTGAGTTTATATGTGTCAGGAAGCTAGAGATATGTTCTATTTTTAACACTGTGAAAGTGTCATCCACATATATCTACCATATTTTTGGATTAAATGTATTAAGAACAATATTTTCCCAGCTGTCCATTACTGAATCCAACATATGCAATAGGAATGATTCATCACTCATAACGGAAATATGGAAAATACTACTACCAATCAAATCAAGCGATGGAAAATAATGGAATTATATAAACGAAGTTAGAAAGTTGTGTGAGTGAGTACCTTGAGATGATTATGAGCAATAAATTGTGCTCGAAACGTCATCAGTAAACATTACTGTATAATACTGTGAGACTTTATCAAAACAAATTCTACCCATAATGGAATTATACTCTATCACAGTGTACAAGTTTTATTCTTAAATCGATTATTAGTACATCTATAATACAGCTGAATGAAAATGGTGAGCGTGGGTGCCCCTGACGAAAAACTACTTTAGACGATGTTTTCCTTTAAGCCCTCTCATCGCTACGTGAGCTTGAGTAGAGTGCCGGGATTTTCACATCAGATATTTTGAATATTCCCTCCCAAGACAGATATTTTACAATACTTTCGCACCAACGAAATTAAATGCTGCTTTGAAATCAAGATATAAAGTGCCAGGCACTATCAGATATATCTATTTCAGAACCTTTTGGAAACTTAAGAACTATGAAACCGAAAGTCTTAAACAATATATGTCAAGTTAAAACAAGATTTGTTATCTTCCTTACAATCTGGGGTCTACACTGACAAAAGTTATTTGTGTAGGACTTGGCATACATCACAACGTTAGGAGGAAGAAAATAAAGTGCAGTACATAGGGATTTGCAGAATTCCTATAAAGGGACAACATTTCTGCTACTGCCATGAAATAACTCAAGTTTCCAGTCAATGACATCAATTTACGCCAAGTTATGTACCTAAATTCACTAAAACGACTAACGCCTAAATCGGATACCATAACTTCTCATTACTAACATCAAAGGTATTGGGCGTCCATTAGAGAAGGCTTTACTGAAACTACATATAAATATGGGAAGTCTGTATTTCTAGCGCATGACTCAACCACTGAAGGCTTAGAAAATTAGATTAAAATATATTGTGATTATGAATACAAATGACCTACAATCAACAGACACTTGACAGTTTGGCACTCAGCCTACGTATGTTATGCTTTTACATATCAGTAATAAGAGGGTGGACAAAAGTGAAGCTGGATATAACCAAGATAACTCAAGTAAAATAAATCCGCACTTCCTTGAATATACACAAAACTTCGCCGTGGACATATATACCACAAAAAGACGAACAAATACTAATTTAGTCTACGCACAATCAGTCTTTCGATCGATAAACTGTTTCATGTTGTCTTTTCATTTATCCGCTTGTAGTATGCACCTATCTGCAAGCAGTACAACATCAACAATTGTCTGCATGGCATAGGATCACAGAATTAGACAAGAATCTCTAGAAATGCAAATGATGCTAAGCAAAATATAAGTTATGGCAAGATTTATAGTGTCCAATTCTAAGGAGCATATACACATTAGTGAAGCTAAATCCTCCCAACTTAACTAGCCTATACAAACTTCAGTTTACGTTACTTAATGTTAATATATTACAAGTTTTAGGAATTTTATTGAAATCGAGAGTATTTATAAAAGTGCGCTGTTTCAATGTTGCAGGTAAAAAAACATTTTTCCATACAGTAATTTAACTGCGAGTTGATCAGTCCTCGGAGAGTTTCAGAAAAATTGGAACCTAGAGAGTATCTTAACCTAAAACAAAACAACCAAGCAAATTATTTGTCCCATATAGGAATTATTTTTTAGGTCATAATTGATCTGAAGAGTTTGTAATATTTATGAACAGTGTATGTGTTGTTCAACAGCTGACTGCATGTTAACAAACCTATGGAATGAAGGCTGATGGCACTACTTACCTAATTAAATACTGTTAGGTGGAAGGTTTAAACATGTGACGCACTCACTGTAATTCAAATACTAATGTTAAAGCACAATGTCGACGCAGGTAGAGGAACATTCACACATATGACTTACCGATGGAACTTTAGCCAATAAGACATAGCTACAACGACTCGATAAGGATACCTAGCACATTCCATTAAGTATTAATTTTGTATTAAGTCAGAAATATTCGGACAACTGGGGTGAGCATCTATAATTACCGCGAAATGTGCACAACATGTAACGTAGAAAATACTTGCTCAAGCTTTTAAAAACTTAATATACGTATGTTAAGATTTCCACCAGCTAATACGTTTTGGCAGATAAATTTGCTAAATGAGGCAAACTTCTCTACAGTTCAGCACACAGTCCGCAACTGACAAGGTCTACACTCAGTTCAACATATAACCACCACCAAATAACATCCAGAGTTTGGATAAACTAGCAAAAAATGTTATGCATATCAATGTAATCCAGAGGCGAAAATACTTTAGAATTGAAAGTAAAAAATAATGACGATCAACTCCAATTGTCTTATACTTACTTCCTCATCTTGTGAATTGGGGCAAAGACCACAGCACCGGTTTCCCATACGTCTAAAATATTATACGACTGTATGAAATATTACAGTAACTAAGAAAAATAAATAAGTCTTTTAAAAATGGCTTTATTTAATTTATTGAACATGTACAATAAGTATATGAATATTTAAGGATTGGTGGGTCCACCTAATGTCCGTATCTAAAAAAATGAAGTATGCCTTAGTAAAAACATACTTTTGTAACTCCCATTCACGATTATCCAAGGGGCAAACTTGTCGTGTTTTTAGCCATCTTGATATACAGTGAAAATGAAAGGCATGCTTGAAGACTTAATTTTTGAATTTCAACTCACATTACAAACTCCCCAAGCCACGGTACACTCTTCACTTGTAGCTGAAGCATGATTAGCCTGACATTCAATACCTAAAATACATGGTATCGATAAGCAATGCGACAAAAACAAACATAAATCCATTATGTGGTTACGGCAGATTGCACAGTTATCAACTACAATATCCCAGGCCCATAGTGCAACCGCATACCACTTTTTTATTTCAAAACGCTTCTTATTCTCATTGGCTGATGCAAGTGGCCCAACATCGTCTACTTCCATTTCTGACATAGCGCGCTAATTACTGGGTTGAATTGACCGCTCTTTGCTTTCCAATATCACATACCTCAAAGGTCTATTGATTATTTGGTGCTCGCGTTCGGTATTTTAGTATAGTTCGCGATTATCTGAAATCTGCCAACTTAAGCAAAAGGCCAATCGAACGATTTTGGGCAATAAATCAGACTCGCCACATAGTGAAAACTTCCGAGAATTTATTTGAAGGGATTTTGTTTGATTGGTTGGAGGATTTCATCGTGAGCTGGCATCAGTTAGAGAGCCACTGAAAAGCCTGGGGATGCTGGACAGCCGTTTCGTCGTAGTTTGTGACTGCTCAGTAGTACGCATCCACGGGGGTTCGAAACCAGTCCTTTCTGGTTACAGCAGTGTACTGTAGGTCAAAGGTGAGGACAGTTACGCATAGAAGACATTGTGAATCAGATGCGCTACATATCGTGAATTGGCAGAAGCCACTGGATTGGGTCCCAGTGGCATATTGGCCTATGAGCTCGCTTTGTAACCAGAAGGCCATGGGTTTGGACCCCGCGGGTGTATACTGAGGAAGAGTCCCAAACTGCGACGAAACGATTGCCCAGTACTCCCCGCTAGTTTTCCAATGGCTCTCTGACATAGTGATAGCAATAGCTGGACAGAAAATTTTAATAAAGACGAAAAACAGTTCATGCACATCATCTGTGTCTTTTAGCTTATGTCTGTGGCTGGTTTTGGCGGTTATTTCACGGTACAGACAAATGTAAAAATAAAGACCCGATTGAAAGTTGCCTTGAGTACCCAAAACGTGTGATAAAAGCAGGTTTTACTGCCACGCCATAGCCCTCATTCTTCAGATCGCATGGGTCCGAAAACTGACCCCCCTCAAATCTATGGCGTACTTAGAGGGGAAAGGGAAGGATTAAGTGAACATATGTCTATATATATATTCGGAAACACTTTTACAGCTGGTGAGAGAGAACTAACTCATGTGACTCCAAGGAGTCTAAGCAGTTTGTCAATTAACTTGAACCTCAGCCGCTTCATTGTCGATAACAACTTTGATTGTCTCCGCAGATTGAATTACGTGGTGATGAATATAATTTTCAGGAAACGAGAGCTCGGAAACTTCCTTCTGGTTTGGTCATTTCTAACCATGTTAGCAGGCCACTTAACATAATCATCCTATTTGTGTTCGTTTGTATTAAAATCGGTGGCTTCCTTTGTGTTGAAAGTTTCTGCCGCCATACCAATGTGTTCTTATAACTGTAACTGTTTCATGCGTTGCTTTGATGCTTTTTTGAAGTGTCTCGGTCATTTTTCATCTGTTATTTATTTGTTATTACGTAGGAGTTTCTCATCTTAATGTTGGTTGCTAGTTCGGATAGTTATTTAATCTGGAAAAATCTGGAAGAGTCTACGACTACTTTATTGACGTTTATAGAACGCAAATATCTACAAGTCACTCTGGCGAAACAAGAGTAATGACACTGTTACATTATTAGGGTTTTCGGAGGACTTTAATTTCCATAGAAAAAGTTGCAAGATCACTGCTGAAGGAATTTAACCAGTATGCGTGTCATATTTATGGTTGCGTTACTGGTGATGAAACGTTAGTTTTCCGGTAATAATATTTTGGGCAGCGTTAACTGTCAGCGACTTTTCACAGCAGTATATGTCCAGTTAAACATAAATAGAAGCATTGTTGAAGCAATAGATAATTTTCAGTCCATGTGCGACTGAACATTTACCATGCGAGTTCACAATGAACGAAACTTATGTAAATTAAACAATACTTATCCATACCTGTTCAGCTGGTGTGGTACTACATAGACAAGGTAGCCTAACTAGCTGGTTTCCCAGACACTTGCCTATAGACGTATAAATGGTGAGACATAGCACTCCGTAATTTTCACTACCAGATAAAACGAAATTTGTAGGTAGAAACGATCCACAGTCAACCGGAACGACATGGAAATTCATATTTGGTGTATGACCTTAAGTCGAGAATCCACATTTCTAAACGTATACCACACCTTCTGGTTACTCATCTAGGAAATATGTACTACCTGAAAAGATACCAAGCCAATTTATCAGGACTTCCGTGCCCCATAACATCAGTCTGGCATTAATTCTACATCTCTGTAATTACCAAATTCTCGCAATCTTAGTTGCTGGAAGGATCCATAATGACCTGTTGGTATAAGTATTGCCAACACTAATGGGACACTGGCTGTCTTTGCAAGCCTAAATAAACAGCACTGTCTCGCGATACTAGTGACGAAGTGCTCAGTTAAGTAGAAGAATCCGTCCAGAAACACGTCCTGAATAACCTGTTAAGAGCATTGATGCTGATTTAAGTATTTTAACTGCTTTTATCGTTGTTATTCTTTAATTTTGATGTGAGTGTCATCATTCTAAAACCTGTTAATGCCATTTTGATATATTTGTTATTATTTGTGCTTGTTCTGGTTGATTCTTATTCCCAAAGCCTCTGTTACAGCCTCTGCACGAACAACGCTTTGAGAGAACGGGCCGACAATCTTCAACCAAATTAAAGACAAAGCCAAACTGTTCTAAATAGAATTATATTGACATTGAAACTGTTGAAAATATCGCAAGGTTAATTGTTGAATTTAAGAAAATGCGTCAGACAGGAATGATGGGCCCTCACGCTATATCTGCGACCGCGCCGACTTCTAAGCTTGTCGTACTTTTCCGCGTGATTTACGTTTTTTTATTATTTTCCTCCATATTCTCACTTTTTAGGTAATATTTTTAGTATTACTGATTAATATTATAAATAACAATGTTTTCTCCATCTAAACTTGCCTTTCTAGTCGTTGCATATTATCCTTGCTGCTTCTCCTGCTTGAAGTGTTACCACGTCGAATATCTTACTTTCGGTGCGTATATTGCAGTTGTATTTTTTTAACATAACGTTAAGTAACCTAAGACTCATGTACCTGCAGTCCGGCAGCCCTGTATTAACTTTAAACAGAATGTCAATTAAGCTATCGAAGCGTCGTTCTTCACAGTCGGCTCAAGACTTCAACAAAAGACGCATATCTAGTAAGGCTAAACATGGTAGCATTCCCCGTCACCGATTTGACGCAAGCTAAATAATTCAAGGCCAGATATTTTTACCTCTTAACCATCTTGTGTAATACGTGATTTTATTACGGGTACTTATAGTAGTACAGATTGCGAGGCTTATTATGGATAACTTCCAAGCCACACTGGATTCCCATAGAAGACTTGACACCGGCTCCTTTGATGTGGTCGGACCCACACTGTCCAAATACCCCGCATGGAACTGTCAGTCGGAAGGTCCAAACGTACATATAGCCTCACTATCAGATGTATCTACTGGTTTCATTTCTTTTGGCACTGTCAAGAGAAACAATAACTCCCCTAAATGCTTTGTGACCATAGACCTTGACCTAGATAATCCTTGCAATCCGCAGGCAGATTTGCCATCATCTAGTTCTACTCAGGTGGATGCTTTTAGGCAAAGTACACGTGTGCTAGTACAGGAGTTCGACAGTAGCACCATCGCTACTATTGCCGATAAGGCCCTCCGTTGTAAAAATTTCCATCAGTCATCAACGTCACGTGGACGTCAACCTAACGCCGTATTTGAAAAAGCAAATAGGTGATTATTTACGCAACACACATCTATCCAAGCCAATAACCTGTAAAATACATTCTTCCATTACTCCATGATCTCTTACCTCTTGGGTATCTGATTAAGCCTGCTGGTTACCCTGACTATGATATATTACCGTCTTATGAGAGAATTATTGATAGTATTTCCACGGAGGTGATAAAGCGTGTTCATTGCATGTATAATGCAATCGTTTTCAATGTGCCATACAGTGCAAGCATTAAAACATTGATAAATATCAGATTCCTATTGTTCCTGCAAACGATTGCGTAAATCCGCATCCAATACATCTTGTCCAATAATGTTCAAATTTAATAGCGCTGTGAATGCAAGCCACTTTATAAACAACCAGCACCTTTATAGGAGAGTAAGCTGCTTTAAAAATATACGTATCATTTACGACAGGACGCCAATACAACCTCGTGCCAAGGAAAGTATCCCAGCAGATGAAATCAGTCGCCAAAAATACCTCCAGCTTCATTTATGTCGATACGAAACCGCCCTTAATCTTAAAAGAAGCACTTCACCCAGTTACCCCAAAATGAAGCTTGATACGGCTACCAATACTAAATTCAGTGTTTCTCCAGTTGTGATATGACCTGGAAAGCACTCACCTGCTGCAAAAGGTACTAGTAAAAATCATGCCTGCCATATTTAAAGTATCGAAAACCATTGTAATACCTTCCTATCTAATCCTAAGATTGTGATTAAAAATGTAAGGAACAGTATACCTGTGCTTGGCATACACAATCAGGTCTGGTTCGGCGTCCTTTACAACTCATGCGATTAAATCTTCTAAAACAACGTCTGAGGTATCAAATACAACTGGGATTAGTGAATCTTTCTCATTCCCTTATCCTCACCATATCACAGCTACCCAACTTCTACTATAAGGTTGCCTAATACTGAATTAACTATGCCCATATCCCGGGCACACAGCCGCATAGACTCAGTAGCCTAAGCTTTCAGCATTCTGTGCTTGCAGATCCACCCAACCAATGCTACTACCCCGCAAACACACTCCCCCGACATCAAAACCATCTTTACAACGCTCCAACTAGTCAATTTCCTCACCAAATTTTTGCTTTTCCGCACTCGACAGTGATGCCACCAATCAACATTATGTCGAAGAGTGTGTTTCCTCAACCTCAAATCTGTCTTCTTAAGACACCCTATAAACCCCAGTTTCCGTATGCTTGTCTGCATGCGCTCGTGAACTGAGCGATCAGCCACTGATATCCTCTTCCTTTTCGCAGAACCTCGACGAAAACTATGAACAATTTACATACCGAACACTTCATGTACCGGCCAGTCTGTTTTCTAATTTTCATTGAAGCTTGTCAGA